CTCTGCTAGTGCCATCCCTGTCACCCTTCCACCACATGAGTTTCAACATGACAGCCCACCTGTTGGCACTGCCCAGAGGGGATCGACTCAGACTTACCCAGGTTTTATCTACGCATGTTTGACGTGTCAGGTCAGCCAAGAGGCCTGTACTGTATTTAACCAGCCCAAGGCAGAACCATAGACACATCCCTAGTATAATGTCACCATTCATAAATACATACAAAATATTGCATTAGCTGTGTTTTTCATCCAATTCCGTATATAATAACCTCATGGCTTTTTAACAATGGCTATTACACTACTTCTATAGTGATGCGGTTATGTATTTCTAGATGTGAGAAATGTGGCTTGTCATAGCTATGTTGATGTTCACTCATCAACATAGCTATGCCTGGAGTCAGCTGTAAGGGTCATGCCTTGCCTTGGCTGTACACACTTAAAATACCTTCCTGTAGTTTATATCCAGGAAGGGCCCGGTGACTAGCATGCTTCCTACTGCTGTACAGCTCCCATCCTGTCTTGGCTGTTGTGTGTCTGTTTTAAATATGAACTGTATCATAGCCTTGTCTTCAGATATCGTTCAATTGCACCAAGTTGACTACTCAAAGATATCTATTTTTCATGAAAAAGTTTAGCGTACTGCACAAAGCCCATAGCAATAGCCTCAGTAGTGCGTCATTTGTCCTTTCACTATGCCCAACGACATGCTTGCCCTCTGATTTTACCCCCAAACTGCCTTTGGTCTTTTTTACCACCACAATTTCCTGTCTATTTAACCCCTTCTTCACCCTCTTCCTCTTCCTTCTCCTCTCTGTGAATCAGGAGCCTCAAACCACTGTTATCCACAACCCAACTGATGGAAACAAAGTAGTGAGTAAATGGAACAGTAGTGCCAAACATAGAGGTGTTTAATGTTGTGCTGTAGTTAGCAGAGTGATAAGATAGTTGGTTTTAGTTTGTGTTTCTTACATAAAGTCTTATATAACGTTGCATGCATGGTGCCTTGGCGTATGTCCTAAATGTTTGTTTAATTTGCGCTTCACACAGACACTGGACAAAGGACTCTGTCAATATGTTATATCTTATGTTAAACAAATATGTGTGCTGTATTTATACACTGAGTATACAAAACATGTTCTTTCCATGATATAGACTGACCAGGTGAATCCAGGTGGAAGCTATGGTCACTTATTGATGTCACTTGGTAAATCCACTTCAATCAGTGTAGATAAAAGGGAGGAGACTGGTTAAATAAGGATTTTTAAGCCTTGAGACAATTGCAACTGAATATTAGCAAGGTGTTCCTAATGTTTGGTATACTCAGTGTATGTTTGTCAACTCATAAGTATTGAATGTTTAACTACATTTGTCCAGTTCATGCTACACTTGGCCTGAATAATCTACAGTAACTACAATCAGATCCGTTTGACAAATGTGGATCCAGGCTATGTCTCCTTTAGATGTATTTGTTGTAATGCTTGTGCATGAATATGTGCATCCTTCTGTTTTTATCTGAGTGTTGGAGTAGTACTGCTAGTGGCTTACTGTTAAAATGACGTAGTAAAAAATTAAACAACTAGGCCCTACAGCTTGTACCTGTGTGTGACCTACGTTCAAATCTGTCTATTCTGTTACAATGTCAATGATTTATATTTTTGTTTGTGTGAGTATAGCCCAACAGAAAGATGGGAGAGTATGTTTAGTTATCCAAATCTGTTATCTCGGCGGTTCGGAAGATAATCAGTCCCTTTGCCAAAACTATTTTACTCATCTGACAATACATCACATCTCTTGTGCTCACGCTTTATCCAGTTTCAACAGCCGACAGGTGTTCATTGTTCTTAGCTGTTTGTTCTTGTCCAACAGGAGTCCAGTGAGAGTGCAAACACCACCATGGAAGATGAGGACGTGAAAGGTAGGAGCACATAAACGACTAGAAATACAAAAATAACCAAACTGCACTAGCGCCACTCTGAGCTAGCGTGAAGTGCTAGCCACATGTATTTGGCTTGTAGCACTGTGTTGGCTCTGCTCAGTCTAAGTGAAAGGGAATGTGTTATTCTCACAGCACTGACGTGTTGGCATGTATTTTTGTCGTGCTGATTTTGCATGAATATGTTTGCTATTAAAATGCCTGTTTTTTTCTTGGAAGAATTCATCAGATAAGCATTTGTTTATCCAGGCATCCATTCATTTGGCTTTTTCATTTAAGATGCTTAATTAATCCACTTCATCTGTCCATCTTCTGGTCTCATCCCTTGAACATGCACTGCCATCCTTCAAACACTATAATGTCTATCCATGTCAATACATTTAAGCTCCTAGACTTTACTTAAATTGTCAGTTCTGTGAATGAACGCTGTCCTGCTTTCTAATGTCATCTCTCTAACCCTGCATTTTCTTTTTATGCAACTTCTATTGATGTAGTCCTTCTGTTTTCACTGGATTTGTTCAACATTTTAGTCATTTAGCAGACGCTCTTATCCAGAGCAACTTACAGGAGCAATTAGGGTTAAGTGGCTTGCTCAACAGATTTTTCACCTAGTCGGCTCGGGGATTCGAACCAGTGACTTTTCGGTTACTGGCCCAACGCTCTTAACCGCTAGGCTACCTGCCAAGACCAATGGCAATGGAAGAATAATGGGTGAATTGTGGCCCAACTTGGATTGTCAGTGGTGCATTTTACACCCACTCTGCTGAGCTAGTTAGTGACTCATTAGTGATTTGGAACGGTGTTTACAGTGGGTAATGGGAACTAACACAATGAGAGCAGGCTGAGTCTACAAAGGGAAGCCATGGGGGAGGGAGGGACTAGTGTGGACTGTGTGTACAGTCGTTTTAGGGAGCTGAATCAGGCTCTGCTGCTGGCCTCACATGATTTCCCATTTCGCTGCTGCCCTGTTGGTCCGCTGAGCCAGAACACAGTGTGTGTGTGCACAAGCTCCACCATTACAGATAGTCATTAGTAGCATTTGTTCACCTCCCTCTTCAAACGGAAGGTTTTGCTTTTATTTTTTTCTAAACCCAGAGGCGCAACATTGCGAGACTACCGGGAATGCTTGTGAAGCAGACCAGGCTGGGGTTTGGGGTTAGAGTAGTCAATGAGAGAAGTGAAACATTCTTCCTTAGTTGTTAATTTTCTCAAAATCTAAAGGCACAACCTAGATTCAAGCCGATGTCTTAAGTAGTTGAACATGTTATTACTCCAACCTCGTGAAAGAGACAAACTGACACGCTTTCACAAGGAGTGCCTTTGATTTGACGGCCAGCACATCAGTGTTGCCAACTTAGCGACTTTGTCGCTATATTTAGCGGGTTTTCAGACCCCTCTAGCGACACATTTTCATAAAAGCGACTAGCGACAAATCTAGCTACTTTTTCTGGTGTTATTGGAGACATTTGTAGACTGACGTGAAAGCACGTATCGTTCTTACTCTTCTCAACGAGCAGCGGGTGCTTTGTTACCCCCGTCCCAAAGCACTCACAGGCGGTCCTCGCGCAGCAGTCCCTCCCAGCTGCAGTCAGAGCAGGAGATGTTGACCCCTCCGCGTCCAGACTGCAAATGAATCGCGCATGCGGCTTACATTCAGGGCGGGATGTAAATGTAGGGTGTTTTTTACTCACTTTTTGTCTCTCCCACGACGTTATTCCTCTCTCCTACAGCGTCCATCACAATTACATGCACATGGCCAATTATGCAAATTAGGCGATGATGTCATTTAGCGACTTTTGGGACAGCCAATAGCTGCTTTCCTTACTGAGGAGTTGGCAACACTGCTGCACATGCGCAGTTAGGCGCGAGACGACCGTTAGACCCGATTTACGTGTTTCTGCACGCGGGTTTAGCTAGCTAACGTTGCTATGACATCGCTTACACGCGTGATTGGGGATTTCTATTGGAGAAGCAGTTTCTGCCTATCTTCATACTGTACTGTCTTTGGTTTTACCTTGTATGACATCATGACATCTGGGGAGCGTGACGATGACCCCAATCACAACAATTAATCTCCTCATTCTACTCTCCGCCTTCAAAAGGCCTTTGAAAATCTGAGACGGGGATGCAATTTCGTTAGTCAATCTCATGAGCTACCTGCTTTGAAATGTGATAAGGAAATCTCATGAGCTACCTGCTTTGAACAGTACTTCCTAGGTCCTAGGACTCCTAGCTACGGCAGTTTGCGTGGAGAGGAAATTGTGTTTCCTAGCATTTGAGAGTGTTGCTTTCTGTCAACGTTTGCATTCCGTGACGGATGATTACTGATGGGTTCTGGCTTTATGTAATGTGACATGTCTCATTGCTGTTCGTTCCACCAAATGTGTCTGTGTTGGTGTTGCTGCTGTTGTTTATGTGAAGCTAGATGCTCGTCATTTTCATATTGACTTTGTTTTCTATGGCATCTGCTTTGTTTAAAAGATGAAGGCATTTCATTTCCCAGTTTGACGGTAGTCGTTCCATCAGGTTGTGTGTAGGAGTTGGAAAACTGTAGGATGTGTTTTTTTGCATGGTCTCGCCCTGTATTTTCTAATGTTCCAAATAAACAAAACAATGTTTCTGGCCACCAACCCAACACACAGGAAGCTATCAGTCCCCAAGTGTCACTCGCCCTGTGACATCAACACTTGCCAGAAAGAGGAGGCCTTACAACCGTCCCATCATACATTTTTCATCTGTTTTTTTTAATTAACATTTTTCATGCTTTTTCTCCTCAGCATTTTGTTTCCAGAGCTCCCACTGAGAACAAGGCAATGTCACTCATCCTTCATTCACTGAACCTTTCATTTCTTTTCTCCATTTCACTTTTTTGTTTTCAATCCCTCACTCCATCCATCCATCCATCCATCCACCCACCTCTCATACCAATAACCCTTGTCATCCCGACACCCTTGCCCAAGTCTCCCGTCCCTCCTCCCCAAATTCCCCTTGCTTCTGGCGGGAGCGCTCAGGCTCGTACCTCTCCTCCTCCTCTTCCTCATCTTCCTCCTGCTGGTATTCTCCCAGTGTTTGGCCCAGTAGGGAGGAGTTGTGCCACTATGTTCTGAGGGCCCTGGTCGCCTGCTACCTGCTCCTCCTCTTCACCTCCTTCTTTGTGGTCTTACACTCTGTCCACCCTGCCGCCCACTGTGGCCCCTACCACACCCACACACAGGGGCCTCTGCACCCCCTTGGGCCCCTGCCTAGCCCGGGCCCCAGCGACATGCAGTGTAAGTTTGCCCAGAGTAAGGGAGAGGGCACAAACTTAAACAATTTCCCCCCCAATTCCTACTACCCTCTGTGCCCCACTTTCCCTGAACTTCCCTCCATATCCTGTTGACCACTATCAGATATGCATCATTTTAAGTCCACATTTGTTTAGGATATGACTTTTAGGATCATTTGGTGCACGTCGTGAGTGAAAATACATGCAAATAATTCCCTCATTGTACCTGGCACTCGATACCAAAGACTAAACACAACCTAGGCACACAACCTGTTACTGTTTGTCATAGAATCCTGTGAAAGAAGGGTCCAAAAAAGTACCCCTTATTTTACTGAGGTTACACTATGTAGGTTGGCCCATTGTTACACTCTGCTTCAGCGGCGCAAAGCAGCGCTGGTCTCCCATGCAGGCATCCAGTATGTGTGTACTGTGCTGCCCTCTGGTGGTCATGGTCTGCCATTGGAGTAGTCAGTCTAACCAGGGGTTGCCAGAGGATCAGTACTGAGCTCATCATCACTGTCTTCTTATAACAGTCTTTGGAAATGTATACAGTAATGCATTTACAATGTATGACACCTAGGCTGGGCATAGAAAGAAAGTATTACTGCAGTGTTGATGCGTACGTAGAGAGTGAGACTGTCGTCAGCTCCAGGGTTGACAGTGAACAGTCTAAAGGAGTGTGAGAGTACACTTTAAGGATTAGTGTTGATAGGGTCTTTTTCTTTGCATAGACTGAAGACTTCCAGGAAAGGGATGGTTTCATTGACCATTAGTCTCTACATTGACCGGGCATTTAATAAGTGGATTGCATTTGGTGCAGAAATGAATTAGACATCCCTTCTGTAGAATCAGAGTGATCTGGCCTATTCAAACTGTCTCTCTTCCCCAGCTGTAGACCGTGTGTGTGTCCTCAGATGATGAACCTTTCAGTCTCATCAGGCTTAGACAGAGGCAGATGGTCAAACAAAGAGCCTCTAGACAGAGGAAAAAGCTCCACGCTCTGTTTCTCTCTTGTCAAAACCAAGGATCAGTTTCTCATCTTATTGCTGCTTTATCCATCAGGATCAAAACTGATGTGTGAGCACCTCGATATACAGTACCCTCATAGCAAGCAACATATTAAAGAGTACTAATGTTCCCTAAAAGAAGATAATTTTGTTTGCAGAGTCCCATTTCTGATTTAGACAATAACTGACAGGCAAAAACAGCTTTGTTTTCCCTCTGTGTGCAATTGAGTGTTGTCAGGGGGACATTCCAGCTGTATTTCTGTATTTTGAAAGTTATATATCTTGAAAACGTGATTGCTGACATGCAAAACATTTTTGCGACTGTGTCAACAATGGACTAATGAAACAAATACCAAAAGATAGTTTTGGGGTGGAATTTTCCTTTAGGTTTTCCAGTTATGGAGGAGTTTTATTTCATCTTAGCAAACAGACTGCTAGAGGACAAGGTCTGTCAGTGATGTGTCAGCGGGTTTGTACGTGTTGGACTGCGCAACAGCAAATGTCAGAACTTGAGTACACTGACCCTTTTTTTTGTTGTTGCTGTATCAGACTAACTGCCAGACTAGTAGCCAGTCACTGATGGCTAATGTAAGACCCAACTGGAGTGTTGTAGAGCCTACATTGGAGTCTCTTCCTCACATTGGTGAACAACGTTCTGAGAAGTACACAGAACTGAGGAGAACTGTTACTTCTTTGCATCATTTGTGTTCTGTCAGTCACGTCGATTGGAAGTGTCAGAGGGGACAAAAGTGTCGATGGTAAAGAGTTTTTAAGAAATAGCATTGATCTTTTTCTCATTTCTGGGACTTTAATCTATGTTTAAGTGCATGTTTTTTATGCATCAGTCACACTAAAAAACGGGTACTAACAGTCAATTCACTACCATTCCATTGGACATCTACCTCAAATAACAGATTTGCTAAACCACAAAACCTTTTTTTCTCTATATCCATTACCTCTTAGCTTGCCTACTTACCTTGTGAGGTAATGAAATCATGTTGTCTGTGTTTTCATGGTGAAACACACGGACTCTCCCGTGTGTGTGTGTGTGTGTGTGTTGTGTGTGTGGAAGTGGTGAACCTTGGCCCCTGAACCTATTGTCTGTGTTGTGGGTCATATTGTTACCACTACTTCAAATCAAATTGTACTGGTCACACACTGTATTTAGCAGATGTTATTGCGGATGTAGTGAAATGCTTGTGTTCCTAGCTCCAGCAGTGCAGTAGTATCTAACAATTCACAAAAGTACACACAGATCTAAAAGTAAAATAGTGGAATTAAGAAATATACAAATATTAGTGTGTGTGTGTGTGTGTGTGTGTGTGTGTGTGTGTGTGTGTGTATATATGAGGGGGAAAAACATATGATCCCCTGCTGATTTTGTACGTTTGCCCACTGACAAAGAAATGATCAGTCTATAATTTTAATGGTAGGTTTATTTGAACAGTGAAAGACAGAATAACAACAAAAAAATCCAGAAAAACACAAGGCAAAAATGTTATAAATTGATTTGCATTTTAATGAGGGAAATAAGTATTTGACCTCCTCTCAATCAGAAAGATTTCTGGCTCCCCAGGTGTCTTTTATACAGGTAACGAGCTGAGATTAGTAGCACACTCTTAAAGGGAGTGCTCCTAATCTCAGTTTGTTACCTGTATAAAAGACACCTGTCCACAGAAGCAATCAATCGATCAGATTCCAAACTCTCCACCATGGCCAAGACCAAAGAGCTCTCCAAGGATGTCAGGGACAAGATTGTAGACCTACACAAGGCTGGAATGGGCTACAAGACCATCGCCAAGCAGCTTGGTGAGAAGGTGATAACAGTTGGTGCGATTATTCGCAAATGGAAGAAACACAAAAGACCTGTCAATCTCCCTCAGCCTGGGGCTCCATGCAAGATCTCACCTCGTGGAGTTGCAATGATCATGAGAACGGTGAGGAATCAGCCCAGAACTACACAGGAGGATCTTGTCAATGATCTCAAGGCAGCTGGGACCATAGTCACCAAGAAAACAATTGGTAACACACTATGCCGTGAAGGACTGAAATCCTGCAGCGCCCGCAAGGTCCCCCTGCTCAAGAAAGCACATATACAGGCCCGTCTGAAGTTTGCCAATGAACATCTTAATGATTCAGAGGAGAACTGGGTGAAAGTGTTGTGGTCAGATGAGACCAAAATCGAGCTCTTTGGCATCAACTCAACTCGCCGTGTTTGGAGGAGGAGGAATGCTGCCTATGACCCCAAGAACACCATCCCCACCGTCAAACATGGAGGTGGAAACATTATGCTTTGGGGGTATTTTTCTGCTAAGGGGACAGGACAACTTCACCGCATCAAAGGGACGATGGACGGCACAATGTACTGTCAAATCTTGGGTGAGAACCTCCTTCCCTCAGCCAGGGCATTGAAAATGGGTTGTGGATATATATGGGTATATGGGTATTCCAGCATGACAATGACCCAAAACACACAGCCAAGGCAACAAAGGAGTGGCTCAAGAAGAAGCACATTCAGGTCCTGGAGTGGCCTAGCTAGTCTCCAGACCTTAATCCCATCGAAAATCTGTGGAGGGAGCTGAAGGTTCGAGTTGCCAAACGTCAGGCTTGAAACCTTAATGACGGAGAAGATCTGCAAAGAGGAGTGGGACAAAATCCCTCCTGAGATGTGTGCAAACCTGGTGGCCAACTACAAGAAATGTCTGACCTCTGTGATTGCCAACAAGGGTTTTGCCACCAAGTACAAAGACATGTTTTGCAGAGGGGTCAAATATTTATTTCCCACATTAAAATGCAAATCAATTTATAACATTTTTGACATGCGTTTTTCTGCATTTTTGTTTTGTTATTCTGTCTCTCACTGTTCAAATAAACCTACCATTAAAATTATAGACTGATCATGTCTTTGTCAGTGGGCAAACATACAAAATCAGCAGGGGATCAAATACTTTTTTCCCTCACTGTATGTGTGTATATATATGTATGTGTGTGATGGGATGTATAGACATTATGGACAGTATGTGGATAGAATATTTAGTATTTCTGTAGGATAAAGTAGTATATATACAGCAATAGTTGAATAGGATGGTATTGACTAGAATACAGTATATACATATGAAATGAGTAAAACAGTATGTAAACATTATTAAAGTGACCAGTGTTCCATGTCTATGTAAATAGGGCAGCAGCCTTTAAGGTGCAGGGTTGAGTAACCGGATGGTAGCCGGCTAGTGACAGTGACAAAGTTCACTGGGTAGAGGCCGGCTAGTGATGGCTATTTAACAGTCTGATGGCCTTGAGATAGAAGCTGTTTTTCAGTCTCTCGGTCCCAGCTTTGATGCACCTGTACTACCTCGCCTTCTGGATGATAGCGGGGTGAACAGGCCGTGGCTCGGGTTGTTGATGTCCTTGATTATCATTTTGGCCTTCCTGTGACATCGGGTGCTGTAGGTGTCCTGGAGGGCAGGCAGTGTGCCACTGGTGATGCGTTGGGCAGACTGCACCACCCTCTGGAGAGCCCTGCTGTTGCAGGTGGTGCAGTTGCCGTACCAGGCGGTGATAAAGCCCAACAGGATGCTCTCAATGGTGCATCTTGGGTTAATGTAAATCCCTCAACTGCTCTAAAGAGATTCATTCACTCCCTTGATTACTTAAATACATCAGAGGTGTCTTTACTCTAATCACATATGGTTGTGGGACAGTTCACTGTTAGGTTTGTGGCAACCTGTGAAAATGTATTTTTTCTCTCTCGCTCCCCCTCTCAGCTCGTAAGCAGGAGATCATCAAAGTGACTGAGCAGCTGATTGAGGCCATCAACAATGGAGACTTTGAAGCCTACACGTTAGTGATCTTGGATTTTATCTACAGTGATCTACAACAGCAATCTCATACAGAGGCCCTACAATCTAGATATTTATCCATAACACTGCACCATTTGAAAACATGAAAACTGAATTGTTTGTGTTCCACTTCTTCTGTCTCACAGGAAGATCTGTGATCCCGGCCTTACATCCTTTGAGCCAGAGGCTTTGGGAAACCTAGTGGAGGGAACCGACTTCCACAGGTTCTACTTTGAGAACGGTAGAGCGCCTGCATTCCATTATGCGCTTGTAGCAGTAAAGATCGACACAACCATATGAAAACCAATGGCTGTAGAAGCATTAATTACCATGATTGTGTACTGATTTGATCAATTTCCCTCCAATCCACTTCTCTCCTCCAGCTCTGTCTAGGAGCAAGCAAGGGCCCGTCCACACCATCCTGCTCAACCCCCACGTGCACCTGATTGGCGACGATGCGGCATGCATCGCTTACATCCGCCTCACCCAGTACATGGACGCCAGCGGCATGCCACGCACCATGCAGTCGGAGGAGACCCGCATCTGGCACCGCCGAGACGCCAAGTGGCAGAACATTCACTTCCACCGCTCCGGCTCGCCCACTGTGCCAGCCAAATAAGGTGACTAGAGGTGGGATTATAGCCCTGTGCTGGCCTGCTTCATCCAGTCATTCTGGAGCTACGTAGCTAGATTGGTTCTGCTTTGGCCCTGCTATCCCTACACAGTCCCTGTCCTGTATCTGTACCTGGATCTGCTCCACCTGCACTATGTAGCGTGGTCTGCCTTGGTTCTGGTTTAGCCCTGATCATCCCTTGCTAGTCAAGGTAGGTGACTGTAGGTGCGCTTAGCCCACCCAACCTGCTTCATCCTGGACCTATGTAGCTAGCTTGGTCTGCTTTGGTTCTGCTTTGGTCTTTCTCTACACTAGCTGGCCTCAAACACACTTTTACAATACCAGTTACTAATTACCAAATGTAAAATACGTCAATTCCTCATCTTTGTGTTGCAGTTGAGAGGACCCCCTAGCCTACAGCTGTCAGCTGACCCACGGAACCCGCCTACTAAGTGTGTCACATCCTCGTCCAATCCCAGCCCAACGCTACAACTCTGCCCTCTGAGTGTTGTTTACATATCGTCGCTGCTGGACTGAAGATTCTTCTTGTAAAATATGAAAAGGAAACAACAATCTTGACGATATCATTTTATAGAGAAAATGTTGGTGTTTTATCTAATTGTTCCATTCTTCTCAGTCTTCTGTCTCATAGCAGGACATTTATAACTGAAACATATAATTCTTTTTTTATTACAATGATTTCCTCATTTTAAACATGTTTTAAGTTTGAATGCCATAGGAAAATATATACATTACATGCCAGAGTTGTTGACAATATGTGAAGTTTGCTGATTTGTGGGCTTATGAGTTATATATGAGAGATTTTCAATCTTAAATAATATACAGTAATACAATGCCGTCCGTAGTTATTGGGACAGTGAAGCATTTCTTCTTATTTTGGCTTCTTTTGAAATCATGGCTGAGGGTTATACAGCACTTTTTGTACTTACAGTAGCCCTCCCCATTTTAGGGGACCAAAAGTATTGGGACAAATTCACTTAAATGTGTATTAAAGCAGTAAAAAGTATGTGGTCTCATATTCATAATACGCAATGACTACATCAAGTTTGTGACTCCACACATTTGTTGGATGCATTTGCAGTTTGTTTTGGTTGTTTCAGATTATTTTGTGGCCAATAGAAATGAATGGGAAATAGTGTATTGTGTCATTTTGGAGTCACTTTTATACGGATAATCCTGAATGAATTGTGAATAATGATGAGTGAGAAAATTAGACGCACAAATATCATACCCCCAACACATGCTAACCTCTCACCATTACAATAACAGGGGAGGTTAGTATTTTTGGGGGGTATGATATTTGTGCGTCTGTAACTTCCTCACTCATCATTATTAACGATTCATTCGGGATTATTCATGGTAACCTCCACATTAATGTAGAAGTGTTTAGAAACATATTACAAAATGACACAATACATTATTTACCATTTAATTTCTATTTGGCACAAAATAATCTGAAACACAACCAAAACAAACAGCAAATGCATCCAACAAATGTGTAGTCACAAGCTGGGACCAAATACTTTTTACTACTTTAATACACATTTAAGTGAATCTGTCCCAATACTTTTGCTCCCCAAGAATGGGGGGGACTATGTACAAAAAGTGCTGTAATTTTTTAGCGGTTCAGCAATATGGATGAAAATACCCTAAAATTAAAGCTGACAGTCTGCACTTGAACGTCACTGTTTGATTTCAAATCCAAATTTTTAGAGTATAGAGCCAAAAGAGGAAAAAATACTTCACTGTCCCAATAATTACGGAAGGCACTCTATATGGCTTGATTTTTCAATATTATCAGTGTCGGGGATATACGGTGAATTGACAAACTCATTAGTGTATTCATATAATCTCAGTATTGCACATCGATCCCAATGACTAAAGTGATATCAGTTTAGCCTTAAAGGACAGTGACCAAAATATCGCAGTTTGTCAATTCTTTTTTAAATGTCAGTTTTTGTGCAGAAATTGCTAAAAATCTATAAGAATATAAGTGAATGACAAACATGAGCTTGCTTTTGTGGTGATGTATAGACTTTTGTGATTGAGTGAATCACTATAGCTTCGCTTAAACTCTGGAGTATTAAACTGTTTAAACATTAGCTTAGTTTACAATCTGTTGACAATTCAAGTTTTCTTGTTCTCAATTGGCTCAATATTAAGTATGATTACTGGGAATTTCAATTGATAATTTATGTTATTAAGGGGAAAATGGTACCTATGTTTTGCCATGATATCCGTTTGGCTATACATCATCACGTGAGAAGTGTGAAGTCTCAATGATGGAATGTCAACTATACTGTAGATATAATGTCCACATACATTTCTCAAGGCCATTGTATGACATATGGAACACTGTTTTAAAGTCAAATAATGATATTTTCATAAGGATGATAATAATTATGTGAATTTTATTGGTTATTTTTTCTCTTAATTTTTATATTTTTGAATTATTAGGTTGTCCCTTCTTGGATTATTGTTGATAATTTCTTCCAGTCTACACATATCGGTGGAACTATTGACCCCCCCCCCCATGGAAGAAAAGAAAGAGCCTTTTACTTACCAGTTGTACCACTGATGTGTCAGTTATCTACTTGACAAGTTGCAACACACATTGATGTTTTATACTGCGGAGAAGTGAGACCGTTATCAAGTATGGAATCACATTGTTCTGGTCAGTTTTTCCTAGTTGGTAGAGATTTATTGAATGGGTGTGTTTAGGTTTGTTCGTTTTGCCAATGGATATGTAAGGGAATGACTTGTTAAGTTGAACTGCACTATGGGACACATTGTGTATTGTTACCATGATGGGAAAGGACTGATGTTTAAATGTTTAAGAAATATCTAATAAATGTGTGATTTCTTCCAAGTTTCTTATTTCCATGCCAGTTTTGTTTGTGATGCGATATCTCTCGATTTTGAAGGCAAAATTTAATCACTGTAAAATCTTGACATTTCAATTCTAAATCTCTGTATTGTAATCCTTTATAGCTTGGTTAGGAAGAATGACAACCACTCCATACACATTTGACACATGTACATTTTTATTTTCTGCCACGTACACACTGTAGCTGCTATGCCATGTTAGCAATTCTGTTTTTCTTCCTTTTTATTAATTTCATAACTAATACATGCCCTCATAGATATTTATATATATGTATAATATTATCACCATGGAAACAAGATGCGGATTCATCAAATCAAATGTACGTTTGACAGATTTCTTTTGTTTAATTTATTTCTCACTTTTTCTCACACAAAGTAAATTGGCAAAGTGAGGAACTGTAATATTGTTACATAGATATAGTTTGTTCTGCAAATAACACCAACGATGCTTTCAGCCAGCCCATGATTACAGTACATCCATGTCTGTTCTGTTTTGGTTTCTGTATTTGTTTCAGTCATGGTTTCCAGAGAATTTCAGAATTCAAGTGAAGCCTTGTGTACAATGGCAACTTATCGGTCAAAGAGTTGAAATTGCAATTCCCTTGTTTTATCTCAACTCACATCTTCAACTCGCACTCACACAAACACACACACATAAAACACTCTCACGGCTCTGCACACTAGAGGAGAGGAAGAGCACGGATGGACATCAATAAATAAATATAATCAAATCTTAATCAAAATGAAAGTACACAAAGATGTAATCTGCAGAAGTCGGATCAGTCTGTGGGGGCCAAATTCATATTGATATTGCATGGATGGTATTTTACAGTGGATCTTCTTCTGAGGGCAGTAATTTTAGGTTTTTTACATCGCCTGCCACCAAGGCACTAACCCTCAATCTAACCAGTTAAAAATAAATGATTAGGCAAGAAATGTGAACAGTTAACATTAGAAAGTAAAATAAAAAAGTTAGTTTAGAAACAAAGGTTAGAAACTTTGGAACTTAAGGTTAGAAAACAAGGTGCATTGGGATTCAAACCAGGGACCTTGAGTGTCGCAACCCACGTTTAACGTCCGTCCATCCATCCATCTGCCGACTTACCTCCCTAACTTTTCTTATTTGACACTCAACCTGTCACAAGCTCCTCCCCCAGGCCATCCAACCAATCACATAGCTGCCCTCAGAACAAGATTAAATAAGGAAAACTCCACTGAGTGAGAAATAATGCATATGAAAGGGCTCTAGCAACATTCAGAGCATATCTATTGGGGTTATACTACTTATCAAAATTAAACAAAGCCATTGTTTTTTAACATAAAGGATCTTCCATCTCCACGGTACCATCACAGGTAAACAGGAAGCAGATCAGACCAAAAATAATCTGTCAAAAACAAGATGTGCCAATCTTTTGAGATTATCACCATTTATTGGATACCATTTGATACCAACAGAAGAAATCAAATCAACAACAGCAAATAAAACAAAACAACTACACCACACTGTCTCTGTGGTGTTTCTCTCTGTCCCCATCCTCACTTGTACAATCTTAACAGGCTTAATCAAAGCTATTGTAGACATTCATATGAGTAATGTACCACTGGGGTAAAATGAACAGGGGGTGAGATGGCAAACACGATTGACGCTTGGGGGGGCATGGGGCGTACCTAGTGTTCTGACCCATTGGTGCAGTAATTTCGGATAAGTGCTCGTACATGAAAGACAAGAAAAGAGAACATTTCGGATCGCAAATGGCAGGTCGCAATGTCAGTGAGGATACTATGAACTAACACACACACACGCTCACATGCATTCACACGCACAGAGGTGGCGGCAGTCTGATGCACTGCTCAGAAGGAAGTGTGAATACACAGCACACATAAGAAAGCCAGAAACAGAGAGGGATAGACAGGGAGATAGTGTGAAGAAGAAGATACACAATTACAGTACGTGGGGCTGAAAGTGTGTGCTCAAAGGACCTGTCAAAAAACTACACATCATACACACAACCAGCTTGAGCTAACTTTGTAAACAGAACTGTAGTGCTGAGCGATTAGTGCTTTTTGAGGTCGTTTCGGTTCAATTATGCACTATGCATTATGTGGGTTGAATGCTGTAACAACACAGAATAAAACAATTAATAAAAGTCCCATGATAGTAGTGACTGCTTATCACTTATTAACCATTAGTTATTCACGTTACTTTATTTTAAAGGGGCAATCAGCAGTTCCTACGTTCATTTTTAGACTTATAAATGAATGATATGTACCCATTGATTCTTGAAGAATATAACTTAGAAATGCCTCATGAGCTTAGTTCAACTGTCGTACCCCATCAGAACCCAAAATATAAACGTGTTTTACTCCGTTTGTAAACAATGTAAATTTAAACAAACACTATATAGCCTCAAAACATGGTTAAACATTTTTTTTATATCATGGATGGTCAGTCCTTGAATCCATAGCTCTGTCTATGCATTTGAAAGAGGTTACATTTCTCCAGCCCCATCCCTCAGCTTTTTACCAAAACAGGGGTGGGGAGTACACTTTGTTATTGTTTCTGCTGCTGATTGCTGCTTTAATAAAATATTTCACTTGTGTATATTACATTTGTTTTATTTGATGAATTTATTATTTCATTCCAAGTCATCATCTCATCTCTCTAGAGTGCCTATGCTGTCTGACAAAATCACTATTTTAGTAGTTCTTCAAAGTAAATAAGGCATACTTTTATGACTGCTGAATACCAACTACTGTATCAATCACTTAGATCATGTATTTTCAGGTAGAGATACCTCGTGAAGAAACTGCTCAATGTGTATCCCTTGTTGATCGCGGAAGACCGGACAAGTAGCCACACAACGGATTATGGTCATTGTAGTTAATTATCATGTTTTCTGCGCTAAACTATATAGAACATTGGCCTGTTGGAAACTACAACATCTCACAGTTCAGGCATGATCTGATTTATATCAAGAGAAACTACAGCGCAATGTGCACATTGAGCTCAGAAAAACCCCAAACTAAATGGAATTCAAATAATTGAACCGACATCAGTCAAATAGTTGTTTAAAACCAAAAAATAACCAACATTTGGTTAATCACTCAGCACTACAGAACTGTAGCGGAGGGTTATATGGGGGGGATTTGCTTCAGTCAAATGTTGGTTCAGATCACATATTTGCGCTTATCTGACTCTGAAGTCCTTGATGAAACACTATGGCATTCCCTCCCTTTTTACAGTATCTTTCGAAACCTTTTTGTGACAACTGACTCCTAGTGGGGCGAAAAGGGTCAACTTTGTTATGACCCTTCACCTCAGAACAGAAGAGCGATTTTGATTGGTGCACGTACGTGTACAGCAGGTACCATGGGGCAAATGTAATAAATGCTTTTGAACTACTGTTTGTTTCGTTTTCTCCCAGTCCGAGCATGTCACTTCTCCTTTATTTACAAATGTTTACAATCGTTCCTTTAGGAAGATGCCTGTGCATGAGGCGAACATCAGAGGTGCCCCCTCTTTATTCATTTTCCGTTTTTGTTTTCCTTTCATTGCATTTTGTTTGTGTTGTTGTTTATTGTACCACAGCAGCCAAAAACTAAAAGAACCCCCAAAAAAGGATAACGACCAAATAATATTCTAAGTCACCCGACGAGAAAGGGGGAACTATCTTTGGTCACAAAATGAGCAAAGAAAACAGGAAAAGTCAAAAGGAAAAGGACAAAAAAAAGTGAAAGCACAAATAACAAAAAGTGCTCCATTATTTGCCACAAAAGGGGAAAAACAACAATCAAAACAAAAATGCAATCCAGTGTCTTTAGCAGGAGATGTCTGTGTGGAAGGTAAAGGTCAGGGGTGAGCTTACAAGACTTCATAGGCTTTTAGTGGATAGGGGGCTTATGTAGTATGGGGGGCAGGGCCAACAGGGAAGAAGAACAACTCAGCCAGCAAATAAAATCAGCCCATCACTTCTTCTTTCTCTTCTCCTCCTCTTTCTCTCCTTCCTCCTCCTCCTTGGCGCAGTAGCGTTGGAGCAGCAGGTGCAGGTGTTGCTGAAGGGCGTCGGGTTGCAGGGTCTCTGGGGTGTCGTCCAGCCGCTCCAGGTGCACATGCTTACCCTGGGCGTCCCTCACCACAGTCCTCTTCTGGGTACGAGACTTACGCATCTGGGTTCTGGAGATGGGATGGGGGAGAGGTTATTAGGCTTGGTGAGACAATTATTTTCAATCACCCTGTCAAAGTTTTGATAGCACTTCATTGACAGGCTTGCACAGTTTGTAGGTTGACCAAAACTCTATTGACCGTAATTTTTGTCATTCATGTCTAAAACACATCATGCATGTTAGACCACGCTCTAACATCAGGAACAACTACAGTATGAGTAATCTAAAAGCGTCACACAAGCCCTATGGCTGAAGGTCCTATGATTAAAGGAGAAGTTCGCTTTTTTACAACTAAATCTCCATTTTTGATGGAAATGGCTTGTTGTAGAAGGGTCCAGACACTTGTTTTGCAATCTTCCTTGTTTTTGAGAAACTTACCCTGACCAGCGATTAATTGCCTCATCCTCGTTGTGCAGTACGGGGGCTCTGAAAAAACAGTAACAAATTCTCCAAAAACACCCAAATACGTTCTTTACATGAAATTGTGTCATTCCGAACTTGAGCCATTTCCCCTATCCAGCTGTTCCATTCTCCGTGTAGCCTGCTGCTAGAGGTAACTGCCAAAATAAAGTAAACACCAACATAAAGTGTCTTAATAGGGCATTGGGCCACCACAACAGCTTCAATGCGCCTTGGCATAGATTCTACAAGTGTCTGGAACTTCATGTGTGGAAGCACCTGCTTTCAATATACTTTGTATCCCTCATTTACTCAAGTGTTACTCAAGTTCCTTTATTTTGGCAGTTACCTGTACAATGGACAGAGAGGTATCGCTCGAGTCGCAACAAAATGTAATATAACGTTGCGGTATTTTGGTGTTTTTAGGAGCATTTGTTCATGTTTTTTCAGAGGCTCCGTACTGCACAACGAGGATGAAGAAATTAATCCCTGGTTTGGGTACATTTCTCAAAAACAAGTGAAACCGCAAAATACGTGTCTGGGCCCTTCTATAACATTCCATTTACATCAAAAATAGAGATCTGGTTGTAAAAAAACAAAATTCACCTGTTAACTTACCTTTCAAATTACCATGTCAAAATGTAAGCATCTAAAGTGTGTTTAAGAGTTAGGGTTAAGATATAGAGGAGAGGTATTCACTAACCTGCTCCCTGATATGTTTATGCTGTATAGCCAATGCCATGTATAACAAAGACCATAGGTGTTGGTCATATAGCACAACCAGACCTGAGACCAGGCTGTATTCACACCATGCGTTCAGATAAATCATTCAGCAAACTAAGAGGAGTGTCCAAACAAAGATGGACACGTAGGTTAATGAACTCCCATTCTGTTCTCAAACCTTTTGACCACAGAACCGTCGTCCTTCACAACCTCTTTCTCTACTAAATGAGGAAGTTGGATTTTTCCAAAGCCTCCAGCATAACTCAACGCCTGGATGTGACAGAACAAGGAAAATGACATTTCAAACACCAAAACCCAGTGTCTCTGGTCCTAGAGTTGATCTTCAATCTGGCACCCAATAAGGTTTTTTAACAGACATATTAAAAACAGACATGTTTCTAACAAACATGTTACAGTCAAGAAGCCTTCAGCTTTATATTCCAAGCACAGTATTGCTTGCAATACTTGACCCAGCTCAACCTGCTCTGCTCAAGCCACTGAGGTAGAAAAGACACTCCTGGCATTGTCACAACTGCTCTCCCTCCCTGACGACTGACCTTCTCAAAGTCCTCTTTGGCCGAGGGGAGGTCTGCAGCCAGCGTTGAGTCACCCGTCTGCTTCTCCATCCTCTCGCCACTCACCACCGTCGTCTTGACCACCTTGCTGACCTTTCGGCCCTGCACCTGCTCTGACTCGAAGTCTGAGGCTGTGGTGGCCCCCAGGGCCAAGGGCTCCGAGAAAGTCAACTGGATAGGTCAAACACAGGGTTCAAAGGTCACTGATACAATAGATTACAATACTTGATTATACAGTATATACTGTAAGGTTATACAGTCATTATAGACACATTCTATATTGTGGTGTAGCCCGAACTATACACGGACCATGAATAGGCAAGGGATCTCAGCACATACACTCTTAGAAAAAAGGCTTCCAAAAGGGTTCTTCGGCTGTCCCCATAGAAGAACCCTTCTTGGTTCCAGGTAGAACCTTTTTGGGTTCCATGTAAAACCCTCTGTGGAAAGGGTTCTACATGAAACCCAAAAAGGTTCTACCTGGAACCAAAAAGGGTTCTTCAAAGGGTTCTCCTATGGGGAAAGCCGAAGACTGCTTTAAGGTTCTAGGTAGCACCTTTTTTCTAAGAGTGTAGGGCTCAGGAAGCAGGTTAAAGGCAAAATAAGGCTTTTAATGAAAAAATATACAAATACATTCAAATCAAAAGGCTCTGTCAGAGCAATGAGACTTACTCTAAGCACCAAATGAGTCAAAATACTTTATTCAAACATTAAGGTCCATGGAGCTTTGGAGAGCTTTTTTCCGCTCTCCTTATGGCAAGTTCCCAGTACAGTATATCCCAGGTGCTGCCAATTTAACCAAATCAAATCACATTTTATTGGTCGCATACACATATTTTGCAGATGTTATTGCGGATGTAGCGAAATGCTTGTGTGTGATGGGATGTATTCACCCATCTGCTTAATTGGCCAAGTGACCTAGCACAGGGGGTTATGGGAGGTGTTGTGTTCTATCTGGCAGCCATGTTGCTGTAATAGGACTACATGTTTCTCCTTTGCATGGTGTTTTGTTGCAGGTTTAGTTTTTTGGCTATTCATTGTCAAGCTTTAACCTCTTTAGGATCGGACACTTTTTTTAAATTTTCAGGACCTGGACCTGAAAAGGATATGCATATTCTTGTTACCATTTGAAAGGAAGCTCTTTGAAGTTTGTGGAAATGTTAAATTCATGTAGGAGAATATAACACATTAGATCTGGTAAAAGATAATACAAACTAAAAAACATGCGTTTTCATATATATTTTTTAATCATCTTTGAAATGCAAGAGAAAGGCCACAATATAATATTGCAGTTTAGGCACAATTTAGATTTTGGCCACTAGATGGCAGCAGTGTGTGTGCAAAGTTTCAGATGGATCCAGTGAAGCATTGCAATACTGGACTATTTTGTATCAAGTCTGCCCAAATGTGCAGTATTGGTCGATTGATACATTTTCAAGTACATAACTATAGGGAACATACAAAAATTATATGGTAATAGAAAATGTACGTTTACACACTCCCAGTAATGTCATACATGATGGATTATTAGCTTATACACTAACTTTCACACATCAGATGGCCGGGCGGGGTGGGTGTGGAGCCAGAGACAGCAGGGGTACAAACTGTAGAACCCAGTTTCTACATTTGAATATAAAAATGTATTTTATCTAACAAAACTATGCTACATTTTATCTCTGGGACACTTAGGATGACAAATCAGAGCAAGATTACTGAATGTAAGTACATTATTTACCTTCAGAGGTGAATGTATCAAACTAGTTGTCGTGATAAGTATTTTGTTGTTGTGCACTCTCCTCAAACAATAGCATGGTATTTTTCATTGTAATAGCTAATGTAAATTGGACACTGCAGTTAGATTAACAAGAATTGAAGCTTTCTGCCCATATAAGACATGTCTATGTCCTGGAAAGTTTGCTGTTACTTACAACAGTCATGCTAATCACATTAGCGCACGTTAGCTCAACCGTCCCGTATACGGGACACCGATCCCATAGAGGTTAAAAACCAAAGCCAGACTGCAACATTTTAGTAGCATAGCTAGGACTGTGGCATGTGTCTGTACACTTTCCCTCCACTGCGTGCTGTTAATGGGACACACGAAAGCAGCGCAATTGAAGTTGAATTCACCGATGCGAGCGCATCAGGCTGTAATTTCATGAAGTAGATGACTCAACTGTTGACTCATTTATTCTCACTTGTGTGTCCTATTCGGCCCGCGGGCTTTGTGTTTGACACATGCGCAAGCCTATTAGCCACGTTATGACTGACTTGTGATCATTGCCCTTGCTAGTTTGTTTGTATTGACATTCCCAACCTTAGTTACAGTCATCAGTTTTTTGGTCAACATATTGAGTAATTAAAACTGAAACAGTGCATCCCGAATGGGTGGAGGCAGCAAACAATGTACCAGGCCAGCTGTGATTAACAACCTGATAGCAATATTTTTTGGACTACCAATACATTTATTGGTGAATTATATCAATCATGCATTGAACTGCATCCGTCTATTTTGCCAACAATGACTTACTGAACGTCATGGAATTTTTAGCAAAATATAACATCTTTTTAAAACCTCTTATAAAGTTGGTTTTGAAGCATGAACTGGACATTAGATATTTCTGACTGATATTATGATTGTCTGTTTGTTTCATATCTACAAAGTAGTTAAAACCCTGTCAGTTCCACTTTAAGGCCAGACACCCTTGTGACATCACAATATCCACAGTATATGTAAACCATGTAATACACAATCGTTTTCAGAAATATTGTAATATTGACCCCAAAGAAAGTCTATAGACACAAAGACAGCAGACAGACACACATACAGACGGACTGACCTCGGTCTGATCTCCCTCGCTCCGGACCACTGTCCTCTTCACTACCTTGGAGAAGCCGTCTCCTTCCTCCACACTGACCATCTCCTGGTGAGATCCCTCCACCGTCACCTCCTCTCTCTCTACGCCGTCTGGAGAGAAGTACTTACGGATCACCTTCCGCGTGATCTGGGGGAGAGAGACAAGAAAGAGAGAAAAGTTACCACTGGTTGAGCACTGAGCAGCACGACTCGGTCATATAAAATAATACACATGTACAGTATTTGCCTGAGGAGATAACTTTATAATTGACAAACATGGATATATAGTAGTTACAGTATGTAGTTGAGCTCTACTGTAAATCGGGCTATGTTCTAGAGTTAAGTGTCTGTTATACAGTGAATGTAGATGCAAAATGTCCCTTTACCTTCTTGACTACCATGTTTCCATGCTCATCCATGTACTGTTCCTCTGTCACTGTTTGCGGAGGGATGTCTGGCAGATCATCCGCCTGGTGAGAGAACAGATACACAGTCATACAACTGGAACACATACTGCAGTTAAGACAAGCACAGTAAGTCCACAGAAGAACCGGTTGAAACATCGTAAACCCCACTCAAAAAGGAAATAAACCGTTTTCAATCATTATCTAAGACCATGAAGATTGAATCAATCTGTCACAGAACAAAATGATATGGCATATGAGGGTGCAGTAGGAAACATAGCAGAGACAGAATGAAATACAAATCAAAATTTGAGAAAAGTGAAGTGCAGCACAGCAACAAAACTCAACTCCCATCTAGACCCAGCAACACAGCACACTAGGGCAGGGCCCATTTCTCCACATGCTCTTTAATGCCGTATACCTGGATGATAACTCTGCGTCGGACCACCCTGGTGGTCAACACCTCCTCCTCTGAGCTATCCGACGACAGCAACCCTAGCTCCTCATTTATCTCCTGAGAGACAGCACACAGCCATTGTGGCCATAGTAGATCATTATAACATGGTTACACATTTTGTATAGTTACTTCAGGCACAGAGCAACAGGCAAGTGTTCCTTCTTTTATCTTTCTTGGCTCTTTACTTTTCTCTCATAAGGATGCCAAAAAGGCATTCAAAAGTAGGCTATTGTAGACCTGATAGAAATGTAAATAGAAAATATACAGTATGAGAGAGGTGGAGATGGAAGATGAAGAGGAGGCACAGTTGTACAACAATGTTCAACAAAACCAGCCATGCAAGATATGGCAATGATAATCCAAAGAAATTGTGGTCAAAGATGCAAACAAGTACTTCTGTATGGAATGTTGAAGTGGAATATGAAGTATTGACAGTGACAGTGAAGGTAATTATTTCACAATATTTTTTTATAGAATGTATTTGTATGTACTGTTCATTGTATCAGATAACCTAGCTGAAAATATAAGAATAATTTGCAAACACAGCAAAAAAGCATTCTCATAATTAAGTATTTTCAATATTGAGCAGGCTTTTGTCACATGATTATTCCATTGTGTTGGTCAATAACCCCACTTTGAAGTGGTTTGACCTAGAGTGTATTGTTTGGTAAGTATGCACACATGCATAAGCTTCTTGTATTAGTCTCTGTGTTTGAGTCAGTTGATGTCATCTCTGGACTGTGGTAACACTGCAATCAGCCTGAGAAGCTGGGACACAAGCCAGGGCAGGGTGCAGTCGTCATGCTTGATGTCTTACCCGTTCCAGAGAGTATTCATCGTCATCGTACCCTGCCTGCGACCTGGATGGAAGCTCCTCACACGTGGGTACAGTTTCACTTTCACTTTCTGGTCTGTCATAAATGCCATAGTCCCCAAGACTTTCACTACCCAAAGAGAAGCGATTATGGTCATCCACCCGTAGGAACTGTGCGCTGCATACAGGGCTTCCTTTGAGGAAGCCTGTTTCCGGAGTGCTGCCGAAGGGGGTTGGGGACGGAGGCTCCTCGATGTGGTAGAGGACCTCCGGTTCCTCTGGCTCCAGATCCTCTGGCTCTGAGAAGTCTGAGAAGTCATCTTTGCAGTCAAAGAACTCCAGGTCTGAATTTTCTTGGACGGAATCTGATTGGACAACTGGCCCAAATGAAGAGAGTGTTTTCTCAAATTCGCAGATCACTCTCTTAAAGTCTGGCGAGAATTCAAAGGCTTCTGCAGATCCAGGTGTAGCAGACTTGGAAGCGAACTCAGGACCCATCAAGGTGGTGGTTGTGACCTGACACTTATCTGACAGAGGGTCACTGAAGACTGGAGAAACTGGACTCATATCAGTGGGGGACACCTGGCTACACTCAGAGACTCTCAGAGAGTGGCGTCCGGAAAACACGGCCTCGTAATCTGATGGCACCAGGAATTGGCTCGACATCGGCGAAAATAACTCACCCGAATGAGTCTCCTCGAATTCCTCTTGTGTACATTCACTCCAGTCTGAGAATTCCTGAGTGGCAGAGTCAAATACCTTTAGTTTAGGTGTCACTGCTCTATGTGTAGAGAAATAGTCTTGTTCACTGATCTGCAATGGGGTTGCTATCAGAGGTTCGTAGCCTGTGGCTCTCTTTGTCTGCTTAGTAGATGCCAGACCTGATACGCTGGTTTCTTGACTCAAGTCTAATATTGCCCTTTCCTCATGTAAAGTACTTTCCGTTATCATGGTAGACTCTAATTTGCTTTGCATCTTTCCATAACTGGTCTTCAACTGTATTTCCTTGGCTGTTTGAGACAGAGCCTGGAAGTAAATGTTGACATCACTTGAACAAGGATACTTCAAATGTGTTGTTACAGCAAGTCAGTTGGCATGCTCCAATAAAATCCCATCAACAAACTGCATCACATGAGAGTACTTGCTTGACTAAGGTCTCGTTAGAAATGTTCTCCCACAACACCATGTCACATTTAAATCACTGCAATAACATTGGAGAACAAACCAAGCAATTCTAAAGGTCAACATCACAGTGCCCAACAAAGTTACAGTAATAGCAATATGCTTCCACACAAACTTACTAAGAGCTCAGATGAGTCAGAATTGGTTAGTTACATCACACACCATCCAAGTGCATTGTGATCTTACAAACATTCCATAGATACACTCCATTTTGCCGAAACCCATTGGTGAATCCAGACATCCATTTCGACCACACAGTGTTATTGTAAACCTCCATTAGAATTGGGAGTTATTACATCATTCCATAGCACGTGCAAAGTCAGCTTTATCGTGCTCTCTCTCTTACCCTCTGTGGGGCTTCCTGGGTTTTTATTGAATCAGCACTGAGGCGCAGGACCTCTACTTCTTCCTCTCTTCTGTCCTGGACCTTCACTGGTTGTTGCTTTACTGGGACATCTTTCTGGACCCTTTTGACGTTTTTCAAACCAATAGTGGCTTGGGGAGTTGGGATGGTTTCAGCATGCTCTGAACCATGCTTTGTCTGTGCCTGTTCCGTAGATGTAGTAACCATTTCTGCTACTAGTCCACTAACCCTTGGTAAGCCTTGATCTGTCGTGGTCATTTGTCCCTGCTCTATTTCAAATTCAGTGGCTGGAACTGACAATAGAGTAACATCCAAGGTATTTTCCTTGGGCGACATTGGGATACGCTCAGACGTTAAAACAGATGTCACATGACTCAACGTACCTGCTTTAAATGTCATTGTTTCTGTACCTGTAATAACTAAACTTAACTCTTCATCTGATGCACCTGATTCAGGAGACTGCTGCCTTCGGGAGACATCGGCCCAATAATCTACAGGTAACGCTATGAATACAGTGTCTGATGACACAGATTCAGGTGAAGACGTTCTATCACTAAGGGCCCGGGGTTCCATGAAGTACTGAGATAATATCCTCATAAACTCAGGCACTGGTGAGTCAGGCGATAGTCGTCTATTCCTGCTGACTGATTCTAGGGAATCAGGTGAGGATGGCCTACTCTCTAATGCTGACGATGATATGACCATTAGCTCATACTCAGAGCCAGAAGCCATTGATTCAGGTGATGATGACCTGTGTTCTATTGTGGCATACTCCATATTACATGAATCCATACCTGACACACCTGATATTGTATACTGAGGGATGGGTGAGTCTGAAGAAAGAGACCTATTGTCATTGATGTCATGCATTGATTCAGGTGAAGATGATCTAACCTTATCCATTGACATCGCTGATTCTAGGGACATGGTTCTGTATTCAGCTGACTCAGGGGACAACGGTCTATCCTTCTCAACTTGTTTCTCTAATAACACAGATTCAGGTGATGATATTCCAACATCGGCCTTTAACACCAATGTTGCAGGTGATATGGGTCGGCAGTCAGGTAATGACTCAGGTGATCGAGGCTTATCCTCTGATACAGACACTATGACCCATCCATCTTCAGAGTCTGATTTGGAGTGAGGGGAAGCTGATCTGTGACCTGTTTCAAATGTATACTCAGATACTACTTCTGCAGCTGGTGATTCAGGTACAACTCTATCAGATACACTCGGAGCGCCATCATGATCAATCTGGACTGTCTCAGTGGTAGTTTGTGAAGGTTCCACTTGTGGACCAGGTAGAGATTCTGGACTGAGCTCAGTGCTACCTAGAGCATCGTCTTCCTCACCAGGAGGAGTCTCTACATATGCTTCGCTACTACCAGTATACTCCAAGAAGCCGGTTTTACTCAAGAAGGTTTCTCCTAAATATTGGGGGTCATGTATTTGAGAGATACGCTTCCAAAGTGATGCTGGTCCATGTTCATCAGCTGATGCCACTGATTCAGGCGTTACTGCTCTGTTGTCAGGACAGGATTTGTCAGAATATACCAACACGAATTCCATGTCTGATGTTATTGATAATGGGGATGAAGACCTGAATCCTGTTTCTACTGTGGAAGACCCAAGTGCGATCTGTGTAAATTGTGGAATTGGTGACTGAGGTGACAAAGACCTATGCCCATTCACTGATGCTACTGATTCAGGTGAGTCTGGTCTCTTCTCATCAAAGACCGATTCAGAAATGAGTGGTGCATATTCAATATCTGAATCAACTGATTCAGGTGATGATGACCTGTACCCAATAGTTGAAAGAGCAGATTCAGGTAACACCTGTCTAAACTCAGGTATGGGTGAATCAGGTGATAGTGCCCTGTATTCATCTATAGATGCTATTGATTCAGGTGATGCAGGTCTATTCTCAAAAAGCATTGAGGCATATAAGAATAACTCTGTTTCAGATTCCATATCTGAGCATATTGATTCAGGCGATGCTGATCTATTCCCTGTCACTAGTGTGGTAGGTTCGTGCTGTGTGTACTGGGGTACTGGGGAGTCTGGTGACAGAGCTCTAAACTCATCTACTGATGCCGTTGAATCAGGAGAAGATGATCTGATGTTTGTCAGTAACACGACTGATTCAGGTGACATGGGTCTATACTCTGATAAAGACTCAGGTGATAGGGGTCTTTCCTCTGTATCTGATACTACTGACTCAGGTGAGTCTGGTCTCTGCCAAAAGGCAAACACCTCAGATGAAGGTCTGCCTTTATTTGTGAATATTGTCGAAAAAATATCAGAGAGCTCAAATTCGTTGTTTGACAATACTGATGTTAATGATCGTGGTCTATCTTCATAGAATACCGACATTAAGGGCAGAGTCCCACATTCCATATCTGAGCACATTGATTCAGGTGAAGTTGACCTGTATCCAATAAAATGTGGAATAGATTCAGGTAATGGCGGCCAAAAATCAGGTATGGGTGAGTCCGGTGAAAGCGCCATGTATTCATCAACTGATGCTACTGATTCAGGTGATGAGGGTCTACCTCTCTCTGAAAAGAGTGTCAAGAAGATGTCAGAAAGATCATATTCATAATCTGACAATACTGATGCAGGTGAAGATGATCTGCTTCCTGCTATAAACAGAGTTGGTTCTGGGAAATATTGTAAGTATTGTGGTAGAGGAGAGTCTGGAGACAGACATCTATACTCATCCACTGATGCTGTAGATTCAGGTGAGTCTGGTCTCTGCCAAAATGCCAAAGTCTCAGATAGTATGTATTCCATTTCGGAAGTGCCTGAAATCACTGATTCAGGTGATGATGATCTATATCTATATACAGAAGATGTAACAAATTCAGGTATTGCCTGTCTGAACTCAGGTATGGGTGACTCAGGTGATAGTGCCCTGTATTCATCTACAGATGCTATTGATTCAGGTGATGAGGGTCTATCCTCAAAAAGCATTGAGGCATATAAGAATAACTCTGTTTCATATTCCATATTTGAGCATATTGATGCAGGTGACGCTGACCTGTATCCTGACATAAACAGAGTTGGTTCTGGGAAATACTGTAAATAGTGTGGTACAGGAGAGTCTGGAGACAGACATCTATACTCATCCACTGATGCTGTAGATTCAGGAGAAGATGATCTGATGTTTGTCAGTAGCATGGCTGATTCAGGTGACATGGGTCTATACTCTGATAAAGACTCAGGTGATAGGGGTCTTTCCTCTGTATCTGATACTATTGACTCAGGTGAGTCTGGTCTCTTCTCATCAAAGACCGACTCAGAAATGAGTGGTGTATATTCAATATCTGAATCAACTGATTCAGGTGATGATGACCTGTACCCAATAGTTGAAATAGCAGATTCAGGTAACACCTGTCTAAACTCAGGTATGGGTGAATCAGGTGACAGTGCCCTGTATTTATCTACAGATGCTATTGATTCAGGTGATGCGGGTCTATTCTCAAAAAGCATTGAGGCATATAAGAATAACTCTGTTTCAGATTCCATATCTGAGCATATTGATTCAGGCGATGCTGATCTATTCCCTGTCCCTAGTGTGGTAGGTTCGTGCTGTGTGTACTGGGGTACTGGGGAGTCTGGTGACAGAGCTCTAAACTCATCTACTGATGCCGTTGAATCAGGAGAGTCTGGTCTATCGTCAATCTCAGAAATCAGAGGAGTGTATTCTGATTCAGACTCTGTTTCATAATCTGCCAATGATTCAGGGGATGAGGACCTATATCCAATCATTGAAACGATAGACTCTCTTAATGCCTGTCTAAACTCAGGTATGGGTGACTCAGGTGATAGCGCCCTGTATTCATCTATAGATGCTATTGAATCAGGTGATGAGGGTCTATCCTCAAAAAGAGTTGAGGCACAAAATAATAACTCACTTTCAAATTCCTCATCTGACAATACTGATGAAGGTGATGAGGATCTGCTTCCTGTCATAAATATGGCTGGTTTTGGGAAATACTGTAAATAGTGTGGTACAGGAGAGTCTGGAGACAGACATCTATACTCATCCACTGATGCTGTAGATTCAGGAGAAGATGATCTGATGTTTGTCAGTAGCATGGCTGATTCAGGTGACATGGGTCTATACTCTGATAAAGACTCAGGTGATAGGGGTCTTTCCTCTGTATCTGATACTATTGACTCAGGTGAGTCTGGTCTTGATTCAATAAAGAATACCTCAGAAATTAAAGGTGCATATTCAATATCTGAAGTCACTGATTCAGGTGATGAGGATCTATATCCAATAGAATATGTAACAGATTCAGGTAATTCTTGTCTAAACTGAGGAATGGGTGAGTCAGGAGTCAAGGCCCTGTATTCATCTACAGATGCCATTGAGTCAGGTGAGCCTGGTCTCTGCCAAAAGGCAAAAGCCTCAGATAGTATATGTCCAATTTCTTCTGATTTCACTGAATCAGGTGACGATGGTCTGCTTCCGGCCATAAACATTGTTGGTTCTGGGAAATATTGTAAATATTGTGGAATTGGTGAGTCTGGAGATAAAGATCTATGCTCATCCATTGACTTCACTGACTCAGGAGAATCTGATCTTAACCCACTCTCGGTTGATAACATTTTACTTAATTGTTCTGATTTCTGTACATTCTCTATTGTACTCCCACAATACTCAAACATACCTGTTTTACTAGCAAAGGTTTCTCCTACGTATTGGGGGTCATGTATTGGAGAGATCAGCTTCCAACGGTCTGCATCATACACAAGTTTGTAAATGGGCACACGTATGACTGATTCTGATGGTGAATGGGCATATTCAATATCTGAAGTCACTGACTCAGGTGACGACGATCTACATTCAACAAAATATTCAAGTATATTCTGTCTAAACTCAGGTATGGGTGAGTCAGGTGACAGTGCCCTGTATTCATCTATAGATGCTATTGAATCAGGTCTATCCTCAAAAAGCATTGAGGTAAATGAGAATAACTCAGTTTCATGTTCCAAATCTGACAATACTGATACAGGTGACGATGATCTGCTTCCTGTAATAAACATGGTTGATTCTGGGAAATATTGTAGGTATTGTGGTAGAGGAGAGTCTGGAGACAGACACCTGTACTCATCCACTGATGCTGTAGATTCAGGAGAAGATGATCTGATGTTTGTCAGTAGCATGACTGACTCAGGTGACATGGGTCTATACTCTG